TGAACTATGAAGGGTTCATGAGGGAGGGGGGAGTGGGGAGGGAGGGGGGAAATGAGCAACTGATATTAGGGGCTAGAGTGGGAGGCAAATGTTTTGAGAATGATGAGGGCAACAAATGTGCATATGTGCTTGACACAATGGATGGATGGATGGACTGTGATGAGAATTGTACGAGCCCCCAATAAAATAATAAAAAAAAAGAAATGTTGATGGCAACATATGGACAAATGTGCTTCATACAATTGATGTATGGATTGTTATCAGAGCTATAAGAGTCCCCAATAAAATGATTTATTAAAATAAAAAAATTTTAAATAGAAAAATAATAATAATAATTTTATGGTTGGGGGTCATCACAACATGAGGAACTGCAGTAAAGGGTCACGGCATTAGGAAGGGTGAGACTGCCATAGACGATCACCTAGTCACTAAACAGTCTAAATGAAACTGAAGAAGTTCCATCTTCAAGTATCATTCTGAATAAAGACCAAAATGAACGAGTAATAATATGGCTTTGAAATGACCATGTTTTTTCCTAAAATAAATGGTAGTTTATGCCTAAAGTCTCTTGGACTCTTACACTTAGTTTATATTTAACACTATCAATCTCTAACATAGCTTCTGGTATTTCAAGGAGAAGCTGACCTCTCTTGGCAAGGGCCAAAAGTCCTGGAGCAGTTTTACTCCACCCTACAGGGTGGCTTTGGGTCAGAATCTACAGTGACAATTCCTGACACTGTCAGGCCAAGTCAATGGTCTATCTACTTTACCATCAAAAGACAGGAATCTCCCAACAAAAACAAAAACAAAGACGCAGAATAAAAGACAGGATGAATGCTGCCCTTTCTAAGCCTAACAATCACCAGATCAGGCTGAACTTAAGGATCACATTTTTATGGATGAGAGTAATTAATGGCTGGGAAAACCAGGTGAGTCTAAACAAGCTGAACTAATATGAACTCATCCATTCTTTCAGCAACTCTTTGGGTGTCTGCTTTTGTCCCAAGCCTGTCCTAGGCAGTGGAGATAGAGCAATGAACAAGATAAGTCCTCTGCTTTCACAAGCTTCCTTCTAGCCAGAGACAAACCACAGACAAATAAGCAGGGTGATGGAGATCATGAGTGGGAAGTTCTTGTACAGAGCAGGGACCGAAGACTGAGAAAGAGAGGAAAGGGTGAGAAAGGGTCCATTGTGGAAGGTCTCGGAATCCTGCATTAAAAAGTTTGGACTTTTTTTTTAATGGACTTTATTCTAAACACACAGAAAAATTTTAAAAGGGATTAAGAGGATCTATTTTTTAAAAGATGACTGTCTTGCCACATGGAGAATGAGCTATATAGCAGAACAATAGAAGCAGGCAGAGCAGCTAAGGACCTAGTGCAACAGTCTAAGCCAGAGCCAAGGGAAGTCTGAACAACTTTGGCAGAGGTTTCAATGTTACATTAATCAGATAAGAGCTACAAGCTTAATTTTAAGAGGATGAAGATCCCAATTTCTTAATCTGACCAGCAAAAGACAAAAATAATTCAGCTTAAAAAAAAAAGTTTTCACTAAAACTGAAATTTTCCTGTGCACTTTTAATGTAGCTGCACTATCTGGCATATTTCCCCCTTTTCAGAAAAAAAAATTTACTCAGTGCCACCCCCCCCACCCCCCCTGAGCAATTAAAAAGTAGTTTTGTACTATAGCACATAATCCAGGATAAAACATAAGTACCTGCTTTTGCAGCACCCCTGGAGCCTCCCAGCACCACGAGGGGCTTGTATCACCCTCTTTAGGATAAGCTGATTATAGAAAGGGGTATTCAGGTCCTTGCTAAATTTACTATAGCAAAGATATTTGTTAAGCATCCTGATATAAATTTAGGAAAATATAGATTCTGACCTATTAATTTTACCATAAAAATATTATGATCTGAAGAGCTGAGTTTTGTGTGGGTATATTTTAAAAGACTTTTGAATGTTTGTTTTGTTTAAATAGTAAGTGATTTTCAATTTGGCACGATAATTAGGATAGCAAAGTGATGATATTTTACAAAGCTTTGGCTTTCTCTTTACATAAAAATTTCCAAGTTTATAAACAGCCTAACTTCTCTGTGGTAAGCACCAGGAATTCCAACCAACCACCTACTCATTGCCATTTCAACTCAGTGACCCTACAGAGAGTTGTCAAGGCTGTAAACCTTTAAGGTAGCATGCAGCCTCACAGCATTAAAGCCTTGATGAATTAGAAGTGGGCCCAAAAAAGATCTCTTGTATACCAGGAGCATATAGCCAACTGAATACTAAACCTATTCACAATTATTTCAGAACCTAGGCAAATGAAGTTGCTGTTATGTAGCTCAGGGATACATAGTAACAACAATAAAATGTTTGAAGTGTTAAGAATGAACAGGTTTTACTGTGACAATACCAGGAACAATGTTCCTTTCTTGGCTTTCCCATTCCCATTCAGTTAACCATCTTAAAAGACCACTGGAAATACATCCCACCAAAGAGCAAGTAACAATCTAAATTGCTACCACTTTTTTCCTACTATCAATAATGTACATAAATCCATGTGTTTGACCTTAGTATTTAGTGCTGCAACTGGGCTAGCAGCTGTCAGTTATTTACATTAAATCTCAAATCCTTCAAATACTCCCACTCAAAACAACAGCCTTTAAACAACTACTTAAAATTATGAATTTTGAAGAAATGTTTACCCTATTTCTAATATTTTAAATATTAGGGAAAAATCATGCATACATTATTTGGCTTAAAGCTTTTGGTACACCCTAAAAAGAAAAATGTCTCCTTTAAGGCTTCTTCTTGAGTCAAATTTCCCCCTAATGTTTCTATGACCAGAAAAGGCTTGCATACCCATTTTTACCACCTTTCATATTTCAGCAGAACAGGGCTTGCAATTTTTCTAACTAGCTTTGAATTCCTGTTATGTCTTCCTATGTAAATAACAGTATTAACACTTGAACTCAAATATCCTAAAACTGACCATAAACCTTACATGTGTATATCATTTTTAGTCAGACGCTATACAGACTAACAATTCTAAGCACCTGCCTTCTTTATCCAAAACTAAACCTGAAACGTGGGTTTTGTCGTCTCTAATTTTAAAAAATGTATAAACATGCCTATGCTATAAAACTATTTTATGGTACCACTAAGGCCCACATTTGTATTCATTTCATTTTTTTTGATGTTTTAACATTTTATTAGGAGCTCTTACATATATAATTACAATCCATAAGTCCATTAGATCAAGCATAGTTGTACAATTGCTGCCATCATCATTTTCAGTACAGTATTTTCTTTCTTCTTGAACTCCTTAATATCAGCTCCCCTTTATCCCCTCCCTCACCCAATCTACCACCCATCTGAACCCTTAGTATAATTATCGTTTTTTTTGCCATAACTTAAACCTTCCAATGCATCCATTCACTTAAATTTCTGATGTTCATTCCTAGAGTGAGGTTATTACAGTCATTGTTGTTATCAGTTCCCCCTTCCCCCTTTCCCGCCCCCCCTTCTCCTGTACTCTCAGGGAATCATTACTCCCATTACTGTTCCTGAGGGGTTTATCTATATTGGATTTCCTGCATCGAAAGACCTTAATTGTACCGATGTACATATGCAGGTCTAGCAAGATTAGTGAGGTACAACTAAGAAGGCCCACGTTTTTAAACAGGTGTTCAACTCATACTCCCTACCTACTCCAAAGGCAGGAATCGTATGTTCAGTAGCACACATCCCTGAGCTGTGTTAAAGAATACCATGCAAAATACAGACGACCAAGGCAGGTTCGAATAAAGACTAAAATCAAAGTGTGTTTGGCTTAGCTTACTTCCAAATTCTGATTCTAAAGGAAGATTTCTCCAAACAGCAGGTGGACAATGAATATTAAAAACAAAATACCACTACAGAAGGTAACAAATGAGTTCACTCTCACTTTCTTCCTCCGGTGAACTGGAGGGGCTACTGGAGAACGACAGGTGGCTCAGTATAGTGCCCTTGCAAACCGAAGGGGCAGGGCATTAACTCCCCTACTGTACACCAAACAACCAACATCAGCTCTCCCCGGCCCACTTTCTTCTTATTTTAGTGCTACTGAGTCATTAACTTGCACGGTGGATAGCTGTGTGCCTGCTGTTCTGTCCCACGTCGGAGGACAGAAGGCATCCTGGTATCTTATCTGGAAGAATCGCCAGGGGGTCTGTCTGTCTGGATCTCGCATGTGTCTGTTGGCATTTACACATTAGGAGCTATGGGAATGAACACCGCTTTAAAAGAGGGGTAAAAAGAAGCGTCCAGGCAACCGGATTTCAACTAAGGACCTCCTCTCAAATAATGATCCATTCATTGAGCGCTTGTGTAACTCGTGTCACTTGAAGCTGAGAGAGTACATTTTTGGAGGAAATATCGAACGTGATCGGAGCGACTCCACTACACCGGTACAAGTCTCATTTAACAACGCTCCATTCTTTAATGTGCAGGTTTAAGCAGACGGAGGGAAGACTGTGAGCGCGGGGAGGGGGGGACAAGTGCAGAAACCTGACCTTGCCCGCCAGAGTTGCGCACCCCTCCCCCCAGCCGCCCCGGGAGCCGGCTCACGCCATCCCCATTGGTCGCTGCGTCTGCGGGTTCCGGCACCTGCCGGGCAGTGACAGGGAGTCTCCACGGGAGACCAGAGGGGCTGAGGCGACAGGAGGCCGCCTCGGGAACACGGGGGCCCACAAGGAAGGGGCCCGGAGAGGGAGAGGAGGCGAGGTCCCTGGGAAGGATGAGGGCCGGTCTGGGCCGGGGGACTGGCTCAGGGTGAGGGGGATGTCTTCGGAGGGCCCAGGTAGGAGGCGAGGACGCCGCCGGCCGGCCGCCCGCAGGCAGCCGAGAGGGCAGGACGAAGGGTCTGGCAGGCCGGGTGCTCGCAGGCAGGCGGCGAGAGGAGTGCGCTACGGGCAGGCAGAGGCGAGGGCTGCGGCGGCCGCCCCGGGGCGCAGACTCACGTTCTCCCACCAGCAGGATCCGCACGTCTTTCTTCATGTCGGCGGCTCGCAGGGGCCGTGCTCGGCCCGCACGCATGGAGCGGACACCTCCTCTCGCTCGGAGCGCGCAGCCCGCGAGGCCGCTCTCCCGCGCAGCCGGCGCCGCCTGTCAATCTCTCCCTCCGCCCCGCCCGAGCCTCGGCAGCCTGGGCCCGCCGCGCAGCCGCCGCGGCTGCTTCCCAGCTCCGGAGCCCGGACCGCGCCTGCTCCGTCTCCTCCGCGGGCGCGGCGGGGTGGACGGGGAGCGGCGAGGGACAAGCACTTCCGAAACGCCAAAGCGCTCCGAGACGGAGCAGCGCCCCCTGGAGCAGGCTCTGCGCAGCGCAGTTCCTGGGAGCCTGGCCCACACGCCTCCCGCCCCCAGCCCTTACCCGCGCGTCTCACTGTGGGCTCTCCACCTCCCTACCCCCCACCCCGCCTAGCGATCCGTTTGGGGTAGGGAATTCGAGGCGCTGGTCAGCTAGTCGGACCACATTTATTTTTTACAGACTAGAGGTCAGTCACCAGTTCGAGGTTGGCAGAGACTTAGAAGGGAGATCGTCTGACCAGACTGTAAGTATCCAGGAATGGATTACCCAGGAAGCAAGGTGAGCCCAAATTGGTAAGCACAAGTAAAGCTATGCTTACCTGGCTTACTGGCTACTCCATCCCTGTTGCAGTTAGGTCGGCTCCAACTCCTGGTGGTGACCCTGTGCACAACAAAGCAAAATACTGCCTGGTCCTGCACCAACCTCCTAATGGTTGCTGTGTTTGAGCCCATTCTTGCAGCCACCAGCTGCAAAAAGGCTGGGCTTTCTATTCCTGTAAACAGGTACCGCCTCAGAAACTCACTCGGGCAGTTCTACCTTGTCCGATAGCATCACTATGAGTGGGCTTGATGGCAGTGAGTGTCAATTCCTCTGTCGGAGGGAGGGTCTCCCTCTTTTTCACTGATCCTTTACCATGCATGATAGCCTTTTCCAGGGACTGTCCTCTCTCTCTCTCTCTCTTAAATCATTTTATTGGGGGCTCATACAGCTCTTATCACAATCCATCCATCCATTGTGTCTAGCACATTTGTGCATTTGTTGCCATCATTTTCAAAACAGGGACTGTCCTCTTTTGATAACATGTCCAAAGCATGTTGGACAAAGTCTGGCCATCCTGGCTTCTAAGGAGCCAGGGTGTCCTGTACTTCTGTGCGGAACTCTGGTACTTCTGTCACAGTACTAGTGTATAGTACTGTACCATTCCATTCGCACTGTACGCCTCCAGGACAGATTGGTGTGGTCCGGCAGTCCAGGGTACTTTCAATACACTTGGCCAGCACTCGTATTCAAAGGCATCCATTCTTCCTCTAATGCATTGTCCAACTTTCACATGCATATGAGACAATTGAAAACACCTTAGTTTGGGTCAAGGGCACCTTAGTCTTCAAAATGGCATCTTTGCTCTTTAACACTTTAGATAGGTCTTGTGCAGTAGCTCTGCCCAAAGCACTGTCTTTGATTTCTTGACTGCTTCTTCCATGAATGTTGACTGTTGATCCATGTTAGATGAAACCCTTGGCAATGCCAGTCTCTTCTCCATGTATTGTGGTGTTGTCTATTGGCCCAGTTGTGCGGGATTTTGCTTTCCTTGCATTGAGTTTAATCCATACTGACGGCTGTCATCTGATCTTCATCAGGAGGGGCTTCAAGTCCCCTGGGCTTTCAGCAGTTGGGTCACCTTCATATCTGCTCCCAAACCAAACTCACTGCCGGCAGGTCAATGCTGACTCATAATGACCCCCTGTGGTTTTCAAGACTATAACTATTTACAGGAGAGAAAGCCCAGTCTTCCTCCCTCAGAGATGCTGGTGGTTTAGAACTGCTGACCATGCAGATCACGGCCCAACACTTAACCACTGCACCACCTGGGTTCCTATACCTATCTGCTAGGAACTAAAGATTTGAAAAGCAGCTTTAATTCTGTAGGAAGATGTTGTAGGGTGGGAAGAGAGACAAGTGCCAGCCATATAGGAAGCAGAATCTTTGATGTGGTGAAAAAATGTGAAATGGTTCACCACAGATTAGTAAGCAAGCACAAGTAAGCCAATGCTTACCTTGCTTATTGGGTGCTGGGCACCTGTATACCTCGTCCTCAGGTGTTCTCCATCTTACTGGATTTCAGTAAGTACTGATTGAATAAAAGGATAACTGACTCCCAGGGTCCACCTGCTTCCACAACCCAGAGCCCATTACTCTAGCTGCCTGTTGCTTGTGGCACTTATAAAGTATCATTATAACAAAACTTGTGTAATCGGATTTGTTTCTTTGTAGCCCAGCTAAAGTGACTCTTTTCTCTCTGTGTGGTTGGTTCTATGGTAGACTCTTCCACTTGTGTTAGCCGTTGTAGTGCTGAGCAAATGAATGCCCTGGATAGTAAACTCTCACTGATTATCCTAACATTGCTTGGATTTTCTCCCAGCTGCCATCTGGAGGAATTAGATATTCCATCCCTGGCATTAGAACAGTGGTTGGTTGGCACTATCTGTGCCTAATGCACTTGTTTTCTAAAATATTACATAATAGATCACAAAAAGGAATTAAAATGTACATCATACCAAACCCTCTTTCTGCTAGGAGAAGTAGTGTGGACCAACTGTCTGAATCATCACCTAGTAGCTATGTGATCCTGAGCACGTTCATTTACGTCTCTGAGCTTGTTACTTCTTCTGCAACATAGCAGTAAGGATGACGTCTACCTCTTAAGGAAATTCTGAGAAATGAATAAGGTAATACACAGCAAATATTTGATACAGTGCCAAACCCAAAGTCCACGTTCTATTGCTATCAGCTATTATTACAATTGAGGACGAAAGACAGGGCTTTCTAATCCTGTAAATCCTGGAATCTCACAAAGGCAGCTCTACCCTGTCCTCTAGAGTCGCTGAGTCAGTAAGGGCTCAATGGCAGTGAGAGTCTTATCTTTGCAATCCTAAGCGTTCCCTGAGAAGTTCTATGCCCCTGGCTTAGAGGCAATATATTGCCGTTTTCTATAACATTTCACTGTCTTGGTTATATGATGTCCCTGAAAAGTATAGGCACCAGCCATTTGTCAGTTTGTCATCATATGGTGGCTTGCATGTTGCGAAGTTATTCCACTGGTATTTCAGATGCCAACAGGATCATCCATGGTAGACCAGCAGAGGTTTCAGCAGAGCTTCCCCACTAAGACAAGCTAGAAAGAAAGGCCTGGCAATACAAAAATGAGGCAATGAGAATCGATGAATTACAGAATACTGTTAGAGATTTCTACTTGTTATTTTGCACACATCAGAAGGAGAGATTGATTGCTGGGGAGGAGCATCATATTTGGTACATTGAAGGGCCAGGAAGTGAGGGTAAAGAAAGTTCTCAATACGATGGATTGATAGAATGGTCACAAGGGACTCAAATACACCGATGAGCCTGAAGATGGCACAGGACGGAGCAACATTCTGCTCTGTTAAACGGGGTCACCCTAGTCAGGGTGGTGACTCGCACAACTGACCCAAAGTATCTGGAGAAAGCCCTTCCAAAAGCCACTCCCACCGTGACGTGATAAGAAGACAGGGAAGACATGCTCCTCGGCCAGTGGGAGATGGTGAAGATGTGTTCCAGGACTGATGCACACCAGATGGTTCAGTTTCTCTCCTGGCTCACTCTCTCTCGGTGAGTGCAATGTAGAATCCACGAGGGTGGATGCCTTGAGGGCTCAGGAAGAAGTATTTTTCAGAATTCTAATATTACAAAATGTTTGGACTGGAAGGATTCTTTTAGAATACTTATGCTAACCTTCTTGGAACCTTGGTGGTGTAGTGGTTACTCATTGGGCTGCCAACCCCAAGGTCAGCAGTTCGAAGCCACCAGCTACTCCTTGGGAGAAAGACAGGGCTTTCTACTCCCATAGAGTGACAGTCTCAGACACACAGGGGTAGTTCCGAATTAACTTGATGGCAGTCGAGTGCTTCTACCCTCATCACTCTATAGGAAAGAAAAGCAAGGCCCAGAGAGCTACAATGACTTTCCAGGGGCGGAACTGCTGAACTTCAGCCCTGGCTCTGCAATTCCCAAGGAGGTGACTCGGAGCAAACATCACCTCTCTGTGCCTCAGTTTCCTCTCTTCCAAATAAGAACAATGATCTCTTCCCAGCCTTTCACCTCTTGGACTTGTTTGGAGCGTGGAAAAATTAAAATTAAATAAAACACACAACCATCAAATCACAAGAGGCAAAGGCCTCTTACAGTGACTCTAGACCTCAGGTGCTCTCAGTTAGCATTACTGACTGATGACAATGTTAATTCAGTTTGGCTTCTCCAAAAAGGGTGCCCTGATGGCATAGTGGTTACTCATTGGGCTACTATCTGCAAGGTCAGCAGTTTGAAACCTCCAGCCTTCCAAGGGAGAAAGATAAGGGTTTGTACTTCCGTGAAGAGTTACCACCTTGTGCCCAGCTATCAATCGGAATAGAGTCTGGGTCTTAAAAGCTTGGACTCCAAACCAGCAGCCATCTAAGTGAGGAGTCCACTAAGTCCTCGTGGAAGAAGCACACCAGCCTGTGATCCAGAGATGACAGGTTCAAAATTCAAATATGATGAAGGGAAAAGTCTCAGAGCTTACATTATGAACACCCAATTTGTGGAAGGTTCTGGAGGACAGTGGGCACCCAAACCCCATCTACAGAGTATCTAGTCAGATTAAGCCTCTGGCAGATCCCCACTAACCACAGGTAAAGGTCTAGAACAGCCTTACTATCAAACATAGATCATTGTAACCCTGATTAGGCTGGATAAAACTTGATACTTGGCCTGCTGATCTCCTTCTAGACCCAACCTGAATTTGTTCTAGGTGTCAGGATCTCTTTCTTGGTCCTGGCTTTTTAGATATTGATAGCGGTATTATCTTTCCTGCTTATTGTGGTATTTAAAAAAAATCATTTTATTGGGGGCTCGTACAGCTGTTATCACAATGCATCCACCCATCCATTATGTCAAGCACATTTGTACATCTGTTGCCATCATCATTTTCAAAACATTTTCTTTCTACTTGAGCCCTTGATATCACCTCTTCATTTTTCCCCTCCCTCCCTGCTCTCCTCCC